AAAAAACAATGTCAGAATCTGGGCTCAAAGTTAACTTTGACAATGTATCATGTCTGAAGTTGCCTAGTTTAACGGCTTGTAACACACGCCATATTGCACGTGACGTTTTCAGATTTTGCAATCCAATAGGGGCGATCCCACAGATGATGGCCGCTGGGTAGATAGCAATTGGATGGGTCACGTGCAGGATACACAAGCTGTTAAAGTTGAAGATTATTTTTCACTAAAATCAACTAACTTTCATGCTAATTTATTTCCCAGAAAAGCACGCATGTGTAACCTTAATATTTGCACGTCACTTGCAGACATCTCAACGTCCTCCATGTTTGGTTTGATCTTTCTAACTTTGCTGTGGCATGATCTATCAGCGTCGGAAGGTTGAGTGTAAATAGTTACAGAGCTCCACGCCATTGACGAAGAGCATATAGGATGGCCAACAGTTCTCGTTCTTGTACCGGGTATGAACGTTCCTCCAACGAAAACTTACGCGACTCATATGCTAAAGGATGCCATCGACCTTTATCATCGGGTTGACTTAATACAGCGCCTAAACCGAAATCTGAGGCATCCGTTTCAATGCGAAATGGCCGATCCATGCAAGGTGCCTGAAGGACTGGTGCCACTGTAAGGAGGTGCTTTAATTGATCAAAGCTGGTTTGCCAAGCTGGTGTCCATATAATTGGTCGTCTTTTGGCACCAGTACCTCGTGTGAGATCCGTCAAGGGAGTGGCAATACTGGCAAAGTTGGGGATATAGCGTCGAAAATGTTGTACCATGCCAACGAATTGCCTCACCTCTTGAACATTGGTTGGTGTTGGCCATGATACGATTGCTTTGACCTTGCCATCATCTGGTGCCGTGCCTTCAGCTGAGACCTTGAAACCCAAAAAGTTGACATGTCGCCTGAACAAGTTGCATTTTTTGAGATTCACCACAAATTGAGCGGCTTTAAGACGATCCAATACATGTCGTAGATGTCGTTCATGTTCCTCCTTAGTTTTGCTAAAGATCAAGATATCATCGAGGTAGACCATTGCAAAATCATCAACACAATTACCAAGAGTTGCATTCATTTGAGCCTGAAAGATTGGTGGACTATTGGCTAAACCAAAAGGTAGGACACGCCAGCTGAACTTCCCATAGCGTGTATTCATGGCTGTCTTGGGTGCATCTGCAGGATCCAAACGAATTTGATGATAGCCACTTTTGAGATCCAAACTGCTGAAAAACTTGGCTCCATGAAGTCGATCCAAACATTCATCGATGCGTGGGAGTGGTGAAGTGTTGCGAATGGTTGCCTTGTTGAGTGCCCGATAATCGATACACATCCGCATAGATCCATCTTTCTTTCTGACAAAGAGAATGGGTGCTCCCCATGGTGATGTGCTAGGTTCAATCAAACCTAAGTCCAATAGCTCATTCAATTGACGTTTGAGCTCGTCGAGTTCTCGAGGGCTCATTCGATATGGTGGTCTATTGATAGGTGGCGTATCCCCCGTATTAATGACATGTGGAATACCTCTATCAGGTGGCAACCCATTAAGGCCCTTGGTATCGAAAACTTTGGGATACTCCTTGATGATAGATTTGATCCTAGCAGTGTCATCCATGTTTTCAGTGCCAGACGAACTAGTTGTTGGCACATCTTTTGCTGCTAACAATTCCTCTGGTGCTAGCACCATGTAGCATTGATCCACCTTATCACGCTTAAATAGCTTGTCCAATTCCTTAGCAGAAAGCAAAGCATGTGCCTGTTGTGAAGATTGACCACCTGTATCTTGTTGAACGGGCTCCAAGGTATATCATTTGCCTTCGTGCAATGGAAACCAGCGATCGGAAGGCCAATGTGGTTGTGGGCAAACTTTTTGCAACCATGATTGTCCCAAGATGATGTCAAACTTCGAGTCAAAGATGTAAACAGGAAGATTGTTTTCAATGTATCCTCCTAGATCCAATGTGATGTGTGCTCTTTTGGATATTGCTGTTTGAGCTCCATTAGCTGTCTCCACGTTGCGCTCCATAATGGGTACCACTTGATCAGCTTTTGATTGTAAGCGAGGTGACATGTAATTTGCACTTGCTCCACTATCGATAAGGATCGAGACAGGGTGACCATGTATATAACCTCTGTGCAAAGGTAATCCTGAGACTGTTGTTGATGCACACGTCAATTGACGGGCTAAGAATGTGCGATCCTGTTCCCATGTCATATCCTGTATCACCTCCTCCCTTTGTATTTCATCATCATTGGGTACATCAACAGCGCAAGAATACGATGGAGAAGTGGAATCTCTATTGACATCATTGGTATGGTAAGATTCTACAGAGCGTGTAGCTGATTCAAATTGAGCCTTGTCTAATGCAACTTGGAATTCATCCTGCGTATCCATGGAGTGTAGTTGAGGTTGTGGTTGACGACGACTTGAGCGGGCTGAAGCATCCAATTGCTGGATAAAGGAGTTGATAGCATGATTTCGAGTTGGACAATTTCTCTCCACATGACCCATTGTACCACAATGCCAACAAACGATGTTAGCGTTATGATTGCGACGAGGTCCACCACCACGTCCTCGACCACGACTATTGAATCCCATATTGCTACGACCACTGTTTCGAAAAGGTTGTCGCCAAGAGCCACCACGAGGAATACGAGCACCACCTTGTTGCATACCATACACGGCATCCAGATCCATTGGGTCACCTTGTTCACGGTAGGTTCCACCAGCTATTGTTGCACGTTGTGCATGTGGTGTATCAACACGCATGCCACGAGCAATGTTAGCGGCTGATTCGAAACGCTCAGCAGCGTTATAGGCATCCCTCAAAGTGACTAGGTCCTGTAAAAGCACTTGCATTCTTGCATCATCATTCAAGCCTTGAATGAAACGGTAGATAGCATCCGCCGGATCCATACTTGGTAGCTCTAACATGTGTTTGCGAAAACTAGCAACGTATGCACGAATGCTGCCTTCTGTTTGCTGAGAAATACGATCCAATGCTTCACGTGCAAGCTGTTCAGAGTTGTTCGGCTTAAACTCCTCACGAAAAGCAACACAAAAATCATACCATGTAGATGGCTCATAAGTGTCAGGATCGTTTTGAATCTGCCGCCACCATTCAGATGCTTCTCCTCGTAATAAAGTGGATGCGAAGCGGACCTTTGTTGTTTCAAGCATACGGTCATTTTTGAGACGACAATAGTTGTCGAATGCATGTAACCATCCTTCGACGGCTTGTGCTGTACGTTCACCGTGATAAACATCTGGTGGCACTAATTTGATGCCATCTAACTCATCCGAACCTCGAGATTGATTCCCTTGAGAGGCCTGTTGCTGTAGGAGTTGTTGCAAGGATTGCATGATTACATGGAGTGCTGTATTGTCGGTGACTATAGGTGGCGTCGATGTTGTAGTGGTAGTGTGATCCTCCGCATGGTGTTCTTGTGGTGGATCCATGTTGATGTGCAAGTTCTCTTCGGCAAGTGGTTGTCCAATAGCACTTAAAAAACGTTGACGTAAAGTAGTTGCTTACTGTCTGATGCTGCTTCTGCTCGCTGGCCCGTAAGAGATACGTTGATCTTCTGGAATATAGATGGTCTCCGTATAACGACGAAAAAGTTCTTGTTGCTCTGTATTTAATCCTGCGAGTATCTCTTCTTGAATGGCGTATTGACGTTGTTGTTGTTGCGAGTATAAAGAACTGCAAGGCTTGAATTTTTCTTCCAAAAAGAGCGGCCTTTTAATTCCA